CCATTTCCCTTTTTCCCAACGCCATTGCAATTGCCATTTCCGCTTCCTGAAATTTGCCATTCGTTACACACGATACACACGGACACGGACAAGGACGAGGACGAGAACGAGGACGATTGAAACCGAAACTTGAACAGCAACAGAAACAGAAAGCCTCTCTCCGCATGCACCGACATTTTCATTTCCATGCTTGGGCGCATCGCAGCGAATCAATTATTCATCATCATCGATTAAGTAAGAGAGGAGCGCCAGTGGCCCACCAATCCCCGCCATCCCCCCTGAATCTCCTGCCCCGTCACACTTTTATTGTTATGATTTCTGCCGTCTGTAATGGGCACACTTGAAGGACTCCAGCGACGACGAGCAGGACCAACAGAAAGGAGGCAGCGCCAAAAAGGTGGAGCGGAGCAGGAGTGGCAGTCAGGCAGAGACAAAGGACTCGCCGGCTGCTCCATTTCGCTTGAATTTTCCTCTCATTTTCTCGGCTTTTCATACGCTGTAATTGGGTAGGCTTTAGGAGTATCTAACCATTGTGAGTAAGAGGAGTTTTCATTGGGTTACATTTTAAATTTATTTAAAGGATACTTGAATAAATGAAAGTTATTTTTAAGTTAGTCATTTATTTTATTAATCAATTTTTTACCTTTGCGTTATCATAATAGAATAATATAAAATTCTTATACTAAATCATTCTTAGAAGAAATCAAAATGTATATAAATATTTTGTAAAGCAATAAAATAAATAAGTTTGAATAAACTTTCTTTTTTTTATAACTTGATTTTTAAAAAAGATTTAAAATAGAACAACCTTTGGAAGAAGAATTTTCCTTATTAAAGAATGTTTATTTATTTGTAAAACGTTTCTCTAATCAACAAATTTGGTTCAATAGCATATTACATTGGGTTTAAAGTTCTTTAGTGTTTCTCAAGCAAAAAAATATATTATTATGTCATTAAATAATTCATTTTTATTCATTATAAATACAAAATTCCAGATCAATAAAAAGTACAAAGATTTATTGGGAAATTCTTGATGTTGATTAACTATTATCAAAGTATTTAAGACATTTAAGGTTTTTAATATATGTGAGGCCACTCTATACATAAGTTTTCTACAGATACAACACATCCTATAATGTATCTTAAGCACATAAAAATCGGTAGCAAAATAAGTCTAAGCAATACAAAAAGAATACCCAGAAATGTAATTACTTTTTCGCGTGACAGAATCAATGGTAAATATAAAAGTCGAGCAGTTTTTCTCCTTTCATTTTCGGTTTTTTCTGTCTTATTTTAATGAGAATCGCTGGGCCTTGGGCCGAAACTAAAAGCCGAGATTCGCACACATATGCTGACATATCAATGTGGCGAAATGGAGGTGGTTTGGTGTGGTGTTTTTGTATGGAAGTCATATATCTACACAAACATAACAATACATCGATGGTGGGGAGGGAGGAAAAGCGGACAAGGAAAACCGCCTGACAGGAGGAGGGGGAAAACAAACACATGTACTACCGGCCATTTCCCTGCCCTCTCATCATGCCGCTGGGCCATGCTCCTTGCGCTTATTTTCGCCATTATCCATTAAATATTTATGAAAATTGCTTTTGCTGCAGTTTTATTCACTTTCCCGCTTCACTTTGCATGCGTCGCGCCAAGGGAATCCCCCAAACGAACACACACACACATGGGGGAAATCCTGGGGCCAGTGAAACAATAAAGCTTAAGATTTCAATTTCCTTACGGCTTAAAGCTGACTCTTGGCATTCCGTCCCCCTTCGCTAACATTTCTCGTGTGCGAGTCCTGGCCCCCATAAATCCCGGCAAGACATGTGCCTAGATAATCCAACATTATGAAAAAACCCGGCTACAATAAATATTCGCATCAATGGCGCCATTTTTAATAGCCAAATGTTAAACGAGCTGCAAGGCTCTCTATAATGAAATATGGCCAATGTGATGCCTGATACTCAAGCTCAGAGGACCTACTGATATAATCCAGATGCTCAAGACTGGCTTTTGCTAGCTTTTAAGAATGTATATTTGTACAAAATTAAGATATTTGATAACTTAGGTATTTGAAGAGTGATTAAGTGGAGGAAAATTAAGCCGGAAATGAAAACAGTAACCAGGCACAAAATATATACAGACATGAGGTGGAACGAGGAGAGTTTTGCTGGTTTTAAGTAAGTTTTTGAGTAAGTTTAGCAATTAAAATAAATGAAACAAGCTTTTAAAATGAATAATTAATAAATAAATAAAGCAACTATTACAAAATATTGTTTTACTCTCAATAGAAGGTTTTCTGACAGACACTTACTTTGATTTCTTAAGAGGCTATCTGCTTGACTTGCTCCGATGATTTAAGTATATTAATAGGGATCTCTGACAATGAAGAAATTAATTGGAAAATAAATGTTAAGCTAGCACAACTGATCCCATCTATATTATCTATGTATATATATGATATAATTGTCATGGTTAAGACTTACCGGTTATCCTCTTAAGCCATTGTAGTTGTAGCCATTCCCATGTAGTAATCGCCGAAGTAAGCTACTTCCTGTTTATCCAACTGCATTCCATTGGTCAGGGGATATTATCGAGGTCGGACTGTAATCACTATCACTATCACTAATCACCGAAGATGTTAACAGGTGGGAGGCCGCCGACGAAATAAGGCCAGTGAGACGGCAGCGCCTGTATTTATAGTCGCAGAGTAGAGAGTGAGAGCGAGAAAGAGCTAGAGCTAGAGCGAGAGCGAGAGAGGGCTAGAGCTAGTGCTAGAGCTAGCGCTAGAGCGGGAGCGAGAGAGGGCTAGCGCTAGAGCTAGAGCTAGAGCGGGAGCGAGAGAGAGCTAGAGCGAGCAAGAGCTAGCGCTAGAACTAGCGCTTAAACTAGAGCTAGAGCGAGAGAGAGCTAAAGCGAGCAAGAGCTAGAGCTAGAGCTAGAGCTAGAGCTAGAGCGAGAGAAAGAGCAAGAGCCAGAGAGAGAGAGGGCTAGAGCTAGAGCCACAGAGAGAGAGAGGGCTAGAAATCGGCAATGACTCCTTTACTGCATTGCCAACTACTAACTAAAAATATAATACCCCGCAGAATTATACAAATAAAATCTGATATTTAAATATTTTAATTCTATTTTCTTTAACCTTAATTAATTTCCCCAGAAATATCTACCTTAATAAAGTACCAGCCCGTAATGAAATTATACTCACTCCCTTTGTCCTTTGACGTCTAGCCATGTCTCCTGCAAATATTTTGGGTCTCGGGAATTTGATCCTTTGGCATTCCGAGGCCAATTTCCACACACATTCCACCGCCTCGCATCGCCGGTCCGTTTAACTCATCACCTGTCCTGACACCTGGCGCACGTAGCAGCTATCTAAATTTCAATTAGAGTTTAAACCACCCGCACAGGAGGAGGAGTCGAGACCAGGTAACTACGCCTTCACCAACCGTGAAATAATTCAGCTCATTAGTTGCATGTTCATGTGCGGCAGCATTTTTTCCGAGCTTAAATCACTCGAGGGGGTGGTGAGAGGGGAGAGAAGTTATGTTGCAAGGAAGTGTTGCCCCCGGCCCCACTATTACATCTCGGGTATATTTACAATATACATTTTTCTGCATTTTTTTTTCTTTTTGGGTTCGCCTTTGGAAACGGCGCATCATAAATTTGTTGCGAGGGATTTCGTTTTTGGGGGTATCTGGGCGGGTTTTTCCTTTTTGAGTAACGATACTTAATAAACCCGCATCATTTTCCCATTTGGCACTCGCACTTCACACGATCCTGGCTCTCCATCGAGATGCGGCTTCCACTTCCTGTTCCCGTTCCCGTTCCCCTTCCCGTTCCTGTTGCTGCTTCCAAATTACCTGTCATTTCGAAATTATGATGCCAAGGAATCGCTGCTGGCTAAGGGACGAAGTCCTTCTCCGCCTCCTTCCCCCTCTCTGGTCGTTGCAGGAACAATTTTTATGTTTATGGCTAAAAGCGCTGCCTAATTTTATTTATTTTTTTTTCTGCTGCCACCAGCCTGGAGGCTTGCCTGCCACATATCTCAAACTAATGCCATGCTTCTGGCTGCCTCGTCTCAGAATGTAAAACCTTATGCGCATTTTCCGATTGTAATCTTCCAGCAGGATGTCAGAGGGGGGGCAACGCAAAAATCATTTCGAAGGAATCATCATCCAGCTACGGGATGCTTGTCATCAGGACTCCTCTCCTCCACACATGGTTTTTTACTCCAAAATAACATGACAGCCCGATGATATCCCCTTAAAGTGGACATTTTCAGGCAGGGTGCCAAAAGTAAACACGATGACGGAGGACGACTTGGCATCCTGGGAAATGGTTAATATGAGATTTACTTCTTTGCCGAAAGCTGACAACTGAGGTTTTGATTGGTCACAAGGAGTGTGTGGCGATAGGAGAGTGAGGAATAAACCCATAAACCATATAAAGGACCAGGCCAGAAGCCAACTGGAAATGATGAAGAGGCATTGGACACATGAACACAGATTATGGGCATAGAAATGTGAAATTTTCAAGGGAATAAATTATGCTAAAAAGGGTAAGGTTAGGATTTTTAGATGTGTTGGGGAATTTTCTTAGGGGATTGTTAACACGTTTAATTTTAAAATTGAATGTATGTGAAGTACTACTTATCCAGATGTGGCAGCTTAAATAATTAATGATAAAATTGTTTATAAAGAAAAAACATTTGCTCATGTTTACTTTTTAAAAGTATTCTTACAATTCTTAGTTTTTAAAATGTAATAAATTTCAATTAAATGGGCATTTGATTACTTTTAAAATGATGAGATTTTGAAATGATGATTAAAATTATATAAAAACTAATCAGAAAAAGTTGTCAAGGTCTTGGAAATTACTAAACTAAGCCTAGAGTTTATTTTTAAAAGTCAATCGAAAGCTAATAGCTTAATTTACTGGACCATCAATAAAACACCATAAAATTGCAAATAAAATAGTTTCAAATATTTTATTCTTTATTTAATTTAATTCATGCTTTAAATAATCATAAAACCAGCAATGCAAAGCTAAAAGTCTGGATCTCTCTTTCTCTTATTCCCTCCTCAGTCCAGCATTAATTTGGTGGCTAAACCAACATGGTCACCACAATTTCACCGAATTCTTAGCCTAAATATTGGGAACCAAGCCATTGTCGGGCAATTTACCTTCCAGGCTGCGAATGAGAAGCACACCGGCACAAAAGGCCACCGAACATTTGACAAACGACCAGGAATTGTGGTCACTGTACACAGTTCGACAGAATTCCAAGGGTTTCAGCTGCGACCACAGGGACATCTTGGAGCTTTGAAAAATATGCCGAGTCAGGATCTAATGAGGCCGAGGGGCAGGTGGGCTTAAAGGCAATGAATTACCATTTAATCACACTGGATTTCTTACCAATTTGTGCTCGGTATATATGTATGTACACTCGCGCCAGGTATATTCGGATATATAGTATGTATTTGAATGGAAATATGTATGTGCTGTCCGACCAGGTATATAGAGCAGAAACGAATGGCAATTTCATGACACACTTGCTCAAAAGAATTTCTGATTTCGGATTTTTGCGTATACATTTTTCATATTTCAGAAATGCAAACAAGCAAGTGGGTCAAGACAGCGCCAGCCAGCCAGCCAACTAGCCAGCAATACAGATGCTGTTGATTTGGCAAGCTTGTTAATTAGCCAAGAGATTTATTTGCGAAACATACACACTAACTTATATACCATTAAACAGATTAACTTATATATATTCCATTCGTGTGCATATTCACTTCACGGAGCTAAAGTTTTTCTCGTTACTCAGGCACTGATTGCAAATGGTGCAGAAAATTTGCTGGAATAAAGTTCAGAAATATTATGCGCTTTAAAATGATTGGAATTAATGGGGAAAATATTATTTATATAAAATTGTTGAATAAAAATGATTATTTATTACATTTGACATGTTGTGGAGAATAAATATTTTTTAAATTTGTAATGCCTGTTTTGTGGGACAGATATTAGATCTTTTTAATTTCTTTGTACTTATACTAAAATTGGAAACATGTGCCAACAATAAAAAAACTTTGTTTTCCAGAGAGCATTATTGACATAGTTTTACTTACAACTTTTTTGGTTATTTAAAATAATATTTTTTATATAAGAAAACATGATCTAAAACCTGTATTTTTAGTTATTAGTATTAATATAAGTATCTTTTATAAAGATGGCCATAGAAACCCGTTAGAAATCGTCATACATTATAAGAACTGCATTATTTAATCATTGATTTATTTTTATAATTAAATTAAAAGAAAAACTATTCTATTTTTATATAAACATTAAACAAAAAATCTTAATAAAATGTAAATGACACAAAAATGAATTAACATCACTCATCCTCATAGTTATATTTTCAGCGTGATTACTAAGACCCAACAAAATAAGACTTCCAGGCAATTTCTAGAAATTTTACCCCAAATATGTATATCCAGTATATATTCCCTACTTATGTTTTAAAGAAAACTCACCGGCAGGGAAGATCTTGCATATCCCCCACATCCTCCTTGCGAGGACCCGGTGCTCTCGAAGTGCCTCAGCCAGGACTTGATCACATTCGTCGGAGGAGTTTGGTAAATGCTAAACTGTTTCTTGAACAACCGCTGGGCGGAACTGATGGAGTCGTTGCTCTTGTAATAGGCCCGAATGACGAACGCCCGGTGCACACCCGTCCACTGATCCATTCCGACTGCAACTGGCGCCTCCACAGAGAGAGAGAGAGAGCGGACACCGCGCGCCGCCACTGCCACTGTCCTTTCAAAAAAATCTTCTAGCTACCACTTCCGGCTCATGGCCGTCATAAAAAACGATCTTTAAAGCAAAGGATGCACTTTGAAAAGGGTAAATTAAAAGTAAATTTTAATAAAAATGTCGATTAGATTTAAAGTTCAAGGAGTTTTGAAGAGCTTTAGTAATAATTTATTTATTTATATTAGTCATTAAAGACTAAAGGTTTGAAAAAAAGTAATTTAAACACATATTTAACGCTGTATTTAGTTTCAAATATAAATTCAGGCATTTTGAAGAGCTTTACTGATAATTTATTTATTTATTTTAGTCATAAAGGACCATAGATAATTAAATTTCTCAAGACATTATAAATTCCCACTTATTCCACACTTGTAATTCCCAAGTCTTCATTCCTTGGCTAAAATTCCTCAGCTTAATTGTACTTTTCTGTAATCTTCAAGGCAGTTTCTTTATAACTTCATATTTATTTATGTAATTATTTATACACTAATTTATTTTGGTAAAAGATATTATGCGCTAGAGCTAATTTTATTTCTAAGGACATTTAAAATGTTGCTCATAATTCCAAAGTGCTTGTTCCATGGCTAAGAATGCTCAGCTAAATTTATTTTTCTGTGATCTTGAAGGGTATTTATTATTAATTTATATTTATTTAAAAGATATTATGCGCTAGAGCTAATTTTATTTCTAAGGACATTTAAAATGTTGCTCATAATTCCAAAGTGCTTATTCCATGGCTAAGAATGCTCAGATAAATTTATTTTTCTGTGATCTTGAAGGGTATTTATTATTAATTTATATTTATTTACATTATTATTTATTTTGGCAAATGTCTTCGCTGTGCCCCTGCGAATTTTATTTGTAAGGATATTACGAATTCTACTTATAATTCAAAATTCCTTTGGTAATAATTTATAACTAAATTTAACTAATCTGTGATTTTAAAAAGAATTTATTTATTATTATCATATATTTTATATGGTAAACAGATAAACTAAATTTCTGCTTCTTTATTTATAGCGATAAATAATCGATTAATTCTTGTTAAATTAAATTGATAATTTTTTCTGTGAATATATATTTATATATATATTTTTAGTTTGCAACACTAATTTTTTCTCCCCATGTATGACCAAAAATTCTATACAAAAAATGCAAAAACATGCATAATTATTTGAACGAAATTAATTGGTCGTGTAGAGGCGGGGGAGCCGCAATGGAGGTGCAATGGAGGTGCAATGTGTGCATCTTTCGTCTAAAATTAGCAACGGCATCGCGGCTGACGCGGCGTATGAGCAATCTGAATTTCTTCTTGTTAGAAATCATTTGCGGTCAACCGTGCTTAAGTTTCAAGTGCAAAATTGTGGCACCTTCCCCCTTTCCGATCTTCGGCTATCAATCAATCAATCAATCAAATCAGGCGAAGCCATCATCATTATGCTTCATCAGCCAAAAGCCAGCAGTAGAGTCATCAATGGGGGGCGTGTCTGGATGAAGTTGGATGTGCGCCCAAAAATCTACTTGAACTCATTTAAAGTTTTCCTACAAGTTAAATCCGCTTTGCACTTCTATTTTTTTTTTTTGGCAAGTGAGTAAGCAGTTTGGCATCTGCAAAGTCTTTAAGCCGTTTTGTTTGGCTTCATCGAGCACTCAATGCCCTAACTTAAGGGCTTTTGGCTGTTTAATTAGATAACTTGTTGACATATCCCGAGAAGGCAAGTGTACTAATTAAGTGCTGAGAAACTTGGTAAGAAGATATGGATAGGTTTATAAGTGGAAGCAATGAGCTTAGGGTATTTTGTAAAATTGTTTGCTAATTTTTCAAATATCAAATTCCAATTGATTTCTGTATTAAATTTGTATATAAAATCACTTTTCCAATGATATAAAACTAGCATGATTAACAATAACGCGATTAATAACAATCTTAAGATGGCGCTTACGCTCTATCTCTCTCTGTTGCAGCTACAGAGGTAGCTCTTTCCCTCTCGCTCTCTTTCTCTGCTCTCTTGACTCAGGAACTATAAATAGAGGCACTTCGTTTGCCGCGACCTCAGTCTGTCCTAGGGGTACCTAGTGTTAACATCGATAGTGATAGTGGCAGTGATATGATGATTATCATTAGTATAATGATTAGTATTATTATTCCATATAAAATCACTTTTTCAATGATATTAAACTAGCATGATTGACAATAACGCCATATACCGTTAATAACAATTTTAAATAAATTTTTTATTTAAATTAATGGCTTAAATTGTCATAAGCTAAACCTTGAATTTATTTAAAATATTTTCAATAGCTTAAATTGTCATAGTTTCTATACAACAAAACTTCTTGCTTTTCATTATAATTTTTTCTAATTTTCCAAGCACTTTCAGCTATTTTTAGGAGTCTATTTTCATGTTTTAAATAAATAGTGTATTCAAGATTTTTCAATGAGAGATCCTGCTGCTTTTCTGGCAGCTTCTTTGTTGATTTTGTTTCAGAGATTTCTTTCTCTTTATCTTTTTTTCGATTCGCCATTTTGCTGGACCATCGAGCACGTAACTGCAATACAATGCACGGCCATCGCTTAGATAGATATAGATACATTTATGTAGTATCCGTTGCTTTTGTTGCAGTTGATGTTCCTCCTCCTTTTTTTTGTGTTGCTTTTGTTGCAAAGTTAGCAAATGCTGCTGTCGCTTTGCCATTTACACAGTTAGCCGGTCTAACAGGCGTAGGGATTGGTGCTGTACGGGCGGGCCAAGAAGGGCGGTGAAGGAAGGGCAGCCCATCCATCCATCGCACGTCCAACCTACACTACACTGGGACACTGGAAAAAATTAGGCCACAATATTTGTTAGAAAATATTTTTGTAAATTAAATTAAAGAGACTGTAATGTTTAACCTTTTTATCCTGACGACCTCCTAAACAGGTTCTTTACTTATCATATCACATATAAAATGTTAGATATTACAATTTTCGAATCATAACAATTTTTGGTATTGCTCCCTAACAATATTTTGGCTCAATTATAAACTAAAATATTATTAAGGTAGCAGAACACTATCAAACTTAAAATTATTCACAAAATAAATAAAATATTTAATATTAATTTTTCACCAAAAACCTTTGCATACTTTTAGTTTGATTTCAAATCTTTGGCTTTATTTTCCTATAAATACTTTTGCTTTTAAAGTTCATATAAAAAGTTAATAAAATAATTTATTTCAGTGCACCTGTCTCTGTTGTGTTCATGTGTGTGTGTGTGTGCATCCTTCGTTTCTTTTTGCTGTCTCTGCTTGTCATTTTGACACCTTCATTTGCTCTGAACATTCAGGCTCCAGTCAGGGGCAGTGATTCTGTTTGCTTTTTCTCAACATTCTTTTTTTTTTCTTTTTTTCTTTTGCCTTTTCCTGCTCCCTGCCAGCAAAATGTGGATCCATGTGTGTGTGTGTGTATCTGTGTGTGGCATTCGAGAGCGTCATTTTGGGTGAAAATGCTTTAAGCTTTGGCGGTCAGCAGGAACTGTTGCACCCTACACCCATAGCTGAAGCATATCCATGGAGTTAATGAAAACATTTTGAGATAATTGACTCTCAAAGTGAAGCTCATTGGGGTTAATCAAATATATTAAAAGACTTCCGAAAATTGGGTAATTAAATACACGGTAAAGGGGATGTAGGTTGAAATAACCTTAAGGATTATTACATTAAGTTAAGTATTTTTTAAAAATACTATAGAAAAGATTACCTAAAAGTTAATTAAAATTGTGGAGAGTGTTGTAGAAATATATATATAGGTTAACGATCCTTATAAAAGGTGACCCAAGCTATTTAGCATTGTTGAAAAATTGTTATATCACAATTTATTGCATACTTGTAGGCATATGTTTAAAGGATTAAGGGGTACAAATCAAGCTAAAGATCTAATTCTACCTTTAACTCAAAATATTTATTTAAAAAAGCACTAACTAAATTGGAACACACACTTCCTAAAAGTAAAATAAAACAATATGTATAAAAACTCTTAAAGAAATTCGTAATAAGTGTGTAGTACATAGTATCTACAATATTACATCCTTCCTGCGCCTGAGATCCTTTTGAACCCAAAATGCCTGAAAAGCCCGCATTGTCGTTCAACCCTTGATAAAAAAAGAAGTATGCCAAAAAAAAATGTCCGTAAAAGAAATCTGGAAGGAAAAAGAAAGCAACAATGCCAAGACAAATGATCCAATGACTGTCTGACTGCACTTTGCCCCATATCATCCAGCTCCCTAAAAAAAGAAGAAAATTACAAAAAGAAAGTAAGAAGGAAATACCCAAAAATGAAAGCAAAAAGTTTAAAGAAAATGTATCGGAAAGGGTGAACGAACCCCTTCTCAGCCTGCTGTCTCAATTTTGGTAAGCGTCCGTTTTTTGTATGTAAAGTTGGTGGATTTGGCACCACCCAAAGAGCCACCAAGAGCCACCCAACTCTGGATGATGATGACAAAGGGCAGCGCAAAAAAGCCACTCTCAACTAGGTCAAGACTTCATTGTTTATCTTTTTTTTCGAAGACACTACTAGGACTAGCATCTGGGCAAAGAGGATTCCCACACATTCCATGTACTTGCATTTGAAACTTGGACTCGGACTTGGACTGAGCCCTGGCATTAGATGTTTTGGAGCATTCTTCAGTCGGGAAATTAGCAGGGAACCGAAAGCTCCACAGGCTTATATTAAATTTTGCATGGCAAATGCTTCGAAGAAGGTCAAACTTCAGGGTGGCGGTTGTGGCAGCCGGACGCATTCAAAAGCGTTTCACTTTCCGGCGGAGGTTGCAGATAAACACGCAAGCTTTGCTACAGAGAAAGAAATAACTATGTTTTAACACAATTTTTGAACAAATTACTAAAGGGAAACAGAGGTAATTAGACCCATTACTAATATCAAGTGAGTCTTACGCTTTTAGGTATAATTCAAATATGTTTTTAGTTTCTACGGATCTTTAACACTCGTTTAAAAAATTAAATTCAAAGTAAACCATATCACAAAATGCTTTAAGGCAGCTTTAAGAAGTTTTTTAGATTTGTAAACATTTTTTTTTAAATTACAAAATCATTCCTTTATACTTAATTTCCCTCTCTGCAGTGGTGGAATTCAAGGAGTTCGTTAGCAGGGTTGTAAATCTGGCTAAAAACAGGATAGCGAGCTCCGGCAGATGCAGCGGAAGCGGATGCAGGAAGCGGGATGCAGGAACCAGAAGCGGGATGCCAGAAGGGGGAATCCCCAAACGCCAAGACACGCGCAAATGTAAGGCGTTGATAGCGCCTCAGCTTATCAGCTAACCCGCGAACTGGGAGCCCTGAAGAGCAGCTGGGAAGCTGGGGAGCTCTGGGAACTCCCTGTGGATCCTGGACTGCATCCTGCCAGGGGACACATTGCGTGCGTGGGCATTAAGGAAGCATTAAAAGTGAAGGAGCATGCGGTGGCCCCGACTACTGCGGATGCTGGTGCATCGCGAAAGTCGAGTGAAAGTTGGCAGCCAGAACGAGGCCACTTACTTAGTCGCCTCTTAAGCTGATTTTCCCTGTCTCTGAGCTGAAAAGTGGTCGAAAGCGAATTAAATCTAGGAAAATCTTAAAGCTCCATTTATTTATTTTACATTTTATTACGTTGATTAATTGCCATTAATTGTAATCTTGCCTTTTTCACTCTTTACACAAAGGTTATCGACTTTTCGGAATCTAGGGGGACATCTCACAAAATCGTTTCTCTTTACACATTGATTACCATCGCGTTCAAATCCAATGGGGCAAATCATAGCATCACTTCTATGTATTCCAAAAAAGAAAACTCCAACGAAAATATACTGATGCAGCCACTTCATGTTTCAAATGTTTAATATTATTTTTATTTTGTCACAACATATTAATTAGCCATGTGTGATTTGCAACAGTTAAAGCGGAACAAAAATTATATTTTCCAATTTTTATGGCTATGCAATAATCTGCTTTCGTTATTTTTTATTTTGTTTCTGAAATCAATCAATATTTTCCTTGTCTCTGAATTAAATCTTGGATATTTATTTCAAAGCCTTCCCTTGCATCACAACTCCATTAATGATAATCGTGTTTGTGCCTTTTTTGGTACAATGATTACCAACATTTTGGAATCCATGTGGACAAATCCTATGGTCATTATCTTTCTTTATACAACGTTTACCGATTTTTTGGAAACCAGGTAAACAAATTTTTTTTTTCAGACAAATGATACCTACATTTTCAAATCCAGGGCGACAATTCCTATTAGCATCAAATATCTTTAAACAACTGCTCCCGACATTTGTTAATCCCAATGGACAAATCGTAGCATCATTTTTTTTTATTTCAAAAACGAAAATTCCAAGAAGAATTGAGAGATGCAGCCAGTTCATGTTTCAAATGTGAAATATTCATTTATTTTTTTAGAACCTTCAAAGTGGTTTAGGTGGATTTGTAACAGTTAAGGCGGAACAATATTATTTATAAATTTTTGTTATGGGTATTAAATATTATTCTTTAACCGTGTAAATTTATGTATACATTTTTGGCTATTTTTATTTGTTTATATTTATAAAAGAGACTTCATAAAATAAAAGAAAATATGGCATAATTTTCGGCTTGTGGAAAGCCTTAAATATTTTCGACATGTAGAAATATTGGTTGGGTTTCCGGGTATTTGGATGGGAAATTGGATCGGTAAATTATAATTTAAAAAATAGGGGAAAAATCGTATTTCCTAAGGAATTTAATTACTTATCCAATAAGTAAATAAGTTTGTATGATAGAACTTAGCTTGTTACTCACGTTTGTCAGAAGCCTTAAGTAAACTTGGACAACCAAACGTGGTCCTCGAATTTCCCCCCTTATCCACTTACCAACGCCCACGTCCTCTTGAGTCTTATACACATGACTTGGACTGTCCAGGACGTAACGGTATGTACGCTTAATGCCAAAGAGCAGAAACCAAAGTAGCAACAACATTGAGTTGAATGGTAAACAATATAAACTATTTAGTCTATGTATGTGTGTCCTTCAAGGATGGGAGGAGTTTTCTCGGGGGTAAGGGGCTTGCTTAGTGGGTACACACCGTAGCTAAAGTCCAGAACTTTGGGGCACAGGACCTTGGCCGCACTGTACGGTGATAATAAGCTATAAAGTATGGATTAAACCATTATGCCATGCGATTTAACTTATCGAAAGACCACCTTGTATCGCAACTTGATGCAGTTTTCAGCTTTTTGTGTAGCATATGGACAGCTGAATATTTATTTAAGGGTTTAAAACATTATTCAATATTAAGAAGGAGTGTAAAATATGGGCTTAAAAGAAAGCAAGGTACGCCAAAATTTGTATACACTTGCAGCTTGCCATAATTAGAAATTAAACAAATTTAATTAAATAAAAGGAAAAATGTACAGAAGATATATAAAATATATATTTATATATATATTTTTATTTTAATATATTAAATTTGTATGATATATTCAGTTAAACCTATATAAATATTATTCTTACAGTTTCATAATTACAGTTTAACGATCATTTCTATGGTAGCTATATGATATAATCATCCGATTCAATTAAAATTAAAATCAAAATTCTAGAATAATAAAACACACCTATAGTTTTTAATAAATGAAAATATTTTAAAAAACATCATAGTTATAATTTTTCGTGTATAAATTTCCGAAACTTTCCTATGACAGCTATATGACATAGTAGTTCGATTTTCATAAAATTAAAACCGACGCTTTAGAACAATAAAAAATGACAATATCTTAAAATTTATTAAATTCTGTTGAAAACTGGAAAAGTTATAATATTTTTTCTAAAAAATTTCCGATCGTTCCTATGGCAGCTATATGATATAATAGTTCGATTTAAATAAAACTAAAATCATAATTTTGGAATAATACAAAATGGCTATATCTCTGAAAAGAATTAAATATATTGAAAAACATCGAAGTTATACATTTTTTTAAAATAATTTGTCGATCGGTTCTATGGCAGCTACAGTATATAGTAGTCCGATTTTCATAAAATTAATACCAAATTTCTAGAATAATACACAATGGCTATACCTTAAATTTGATGAAAATCTGTTGAAAATTAGACAAGTTATAATATTTTTTTTTTAGAATTTCCGATCGTTCGTATGGCAGCTATATGATATAGTCGGCCGATCCTGATTATTCTAACGTATATACTAGTATGAGTATATAGAAACCAACTGCAAAGTTTCATTTATATAGCTAAAAACCTAAGGGAGTAGATTTCTTAAAAAACCGACACCCGGACAGGCAAACATGTCTAGATAGACTTGGCTGTTAATGCAGATCAAGAATATATTATATAAAACCTTTATAGTTCGTTACTCTATAAATTTAATCAATATCATTATATTCTACCATATTCTTGGTCAACAAAACACCTGCGACAGTTTTGTAAGGTGAACACAGTTTCGAGTGTTTAAGGTTAAGAGAAAAGAGCTAAGTTCAGCGTTCAAAGAGCGAAAAACCTCTCTTAAGCGACAGTACAATCAATGTAGCGGCTGTAAGAACTACAAGAAATTCGAAATATAACATGTATTTAATAGAAGCGAAATAAGAGTAGTTTACAAAAGGCATTACAAAATAAATAAATAATAAATTATATAATATTTAATTTGTTTAATTTAATTATAATTTGCACAATTAAGCTATTTCAACCAACATAAATTATTGTATTTATTAATGCTTAGCTTATATACTTACTACATTTAATTTAAAAATATTAATTTACCATAGTGCGAGTAACTAAATATTGACCCATTTGGCCCACTGTTCGCTGTGAGCGACAAATTTGAATTTGCCAGTCGCAGAGAGAGCAACAACAAAACAGCGCAAGGCAGAAAAGTCGCCAGTGCTGTTCCCACCGCCTCCGCCACCGCTCGACCACAACTTCTGTTACAACGACAGTGCAAGAGAGTGAGTGTATGCGGGAGATGGACAGAGAGAGAGCGCCAGAGAGAGTAACTTCTGCTTGTGTTTGTTGGTTTTGTTTGGTTTTTTTCTTTCTCCTCTCTCTCCCGCTGGCACTTGTGTGCGAGTGCGTTAATATCTGTGTGAGCTGCGCGGCTGTAAAGAGAGCGGCACACGTACACATACTCAATTACAACGCACTTGCTGCACCGCTCGCACACATGGGTGGCAGGCCGTCGGCAGCGACGCCGACACCAGTGACGACGCCGGCAGCGGAGCGGTTAGCGACCGAGAAAGAGTATGCGAGTACGAATTCAAACTTTGTGGCGTTCGGTTGGAAAAGCAGCAGAAAACACTGAAAATCGAGAACTGAAAACAGAGGAAGAAGCAGCAGCAGCAGAAGGAAAAGCGACAACAACAAAAGGCAGAATCGAAACTCGCGTGTGCATATGCGTTTTGTATGTGTGTGCGAACGTGCATTCTGCATACACACAAGTTTAAATTAAATACTTTGGCTTAATTAAATACTTCCGCGGCGGCGTCGTTGCTGTTGTTGTTGATTTTTGCCTCTTCTTTACGCGCTTGTCTACGGCTATCGTTATCGATTCTCGTCGTCTCGCTCGCGCTCTCCCCGTTTTGTTTGTGTACTGAAAAGAAGCAGCAGAAACGGCAGCAAACAAAATAAAAACGCAAGACTGCGAACAGCATAAATAATAAACAACGAGACAAGTGCGAAGTGGAAAAGCGCTGCCGACAAAACAGGTAAAAACGAAAAGCGCTAACGGTGAAAGTGAATTTTTGCAAACTACATTTGTATGCCTGTGGCCAGTGTGTGTGCGTGTGTGTTTTGTGTGTGTGGAAAAGTAGGAACAACATTTGTTGAATAAGAACAACCGGAAGATTTTGCCACCCACGAAAATTCAGCACAAAAGGGCCGCGAAAAAAGTAGTTGACTCCGCTCTCTCTCTCTCTCCCTCTCACGGTGTTCCGCAAGAGCCAGAGAGCCGAATCGGGCGCGTGGCAAAGAATACAAAATAAAATAAAAATAAGTAGTGGCAGAAAAAAAAACAGAGTTGCAGTTTTAGTTGTAGTTTTGCTGCAGCGCGCGCTCTCGCTCTCCCTCTCACTGTCGCTCACCATTTCAACCCCTAAAAATTGCTCTCTCTCTCTTTAGCTCTCTCCCTCTCTCTGCGCTCTGCGCCGCTTTCGTGGTCTCTCTTCGCTCGAAGTTTTCCATTTTCTTGCATTTGACTAACATTCGCCAGCACGGCGTCGTGTGAAAAACTACGTGTGAAAAACTTAGGCGGCAAAAAGCTTAGCAATTTTCACTTTACCCCCAGAGCGTGCTACAAAATACGGTGTGTGTTTGTGTGTGTTCGTGATTTGCGAATTTATCGGTAGTTTTCGGAGTTACCACCAGTTCGCAGAGTTCCCAGGGAGTTGTAAGTTAACTGTCAGATTTTCGGCACACTTGACAGGTGCAGCGACACTAGTGCATTTCTTATCGGTTAACGCGGACGCTATTCTTTGATTGAACAATTATGTGATTTTTTCGTTCAAAATTCAGAAAATCGTAACAGAGAAGAAACCGGAAATAAAGAAGTGAAACAAACTGAAATCGAAGCAAATTCCTCGAACTGAAAATCGGCAAACAAATTTAGTGTGCAATCCAAATTAATTTTTTGCATTGTTCTTGTTGTTGTTGTTGCCGTCGTGCCACCATTTTGTAAGCGAAAAAAAGGGAAAATGAAAACGAGACGGACAAGATATGAAAACAAAATAGAAAAGAAATGAAAAGCGCTGCACGTCACAAAGTTCAGCGTTCAGGTTTTACCGTTTACCGTTGTTCGTTCGCCGCCGTTCCATTAATGAAAAATCCACCCTCACAAACAAAACAAAATCAGCCGTCCGTCGGTGTCCGTGTGTGTCTCTGTGTGTGTGTACTTTTGCGGCTGTGTGCGTGCGTGCGGCATTTTCCATTTTCCATAAGGGTTGTACACACAACAAACACACGGGGGCCCGAAAAAGTTTTTCAAGTTTACTTTTACGCGATTTTCACAGCACTTCTTTTTCGTCCTTCTTCTTCTGTCCGTCCTTTTCCTCTTTGTCCTCTTCTTCTCGTGCTTTCCCTGCCCCTTGCCAGCCCTTTTGCCAAGTCATTCTGACATTTCGGCCATATTCCTGCTGCTTTCTGTTCTCTCTTTGCCGCTTTCTCTTCCCGTTTCTCGTTGGTTTTGTTATTTGCCGGCGCTTTTTCGCTGCTTTTCCATCTGTTTTTGACAACTTTCCGAGGGTTGTTCGAGCATTTTCCACTCGCCTCGTCCTTTGATTAATGCCTCCGATTTACCTTTCCAATTAGAACGAAATTATGATTGTCTTTCCATGATTTCTTTTATGTTATTTTTCACCATACTTGCTTGTATTTCCGAAATAATTGTTCTATATTTTCCGTTTCTCCGGTTCGCCGCATAATTAACCTCATTTGCTTCTGATAAGAAATTTACAGTTCGATAAATAGTGGTCATCCAATTAGTGTATTTGAAATGAATTTAATTATTATAGAAATAATTTTTCTAGTTTATGGCTTACTTTATTTTCATTTTTCCTTGATTGTTTGAAAGCCGTAACTTTGACAATACATTTTCATATTTTTATATAATTTGCTTTGTTTAATTGGTTTGAAACTTTATACCACTTCTTTAATTATTGTTAAAACCTTTGAATAGATGGATATTAGCTTTCTTATCTATAAATTTAATACCTTTTCCATTTATTAAATTCTAGATTCACATCTGCTTGAATGTGAATCCTTTAAATGCTGCTCGTTTTATTATCGTGCCAAGTGTGAATTTAAATAAATTCAATTCCACTTGATTGCCTCAAAACATTTAAATTATTTTTTTATGGATGCATTCAAGGAGAGAATCGTGCCTAAGTGGTATCCTTGGAATGCTTGGGAAATTGAAAATGCAAGCAGAGTTTCACCCGTGTGGATATTTAATGATTGTCGAAAAAACATATATATATATATTTGTTGTGCTTTTGATTCGTTTTTTGATTATTAATAAACCCAAATTTCTTTCTCATTTTTATTCGTCTTGCAGCTGGTAAATCCAACATACAAGAACAGCCAGCGAAGAAACGGAAAATTTAACACGCAAATTAAAAGTGCAATAAAAAAGCTGAAAGTGTTTTTACACTGCGCTAAAGAAGGAAGTTGAAGATAGTAAATAAATGAGAAGAGCCACAGCAACACCACCATAAAAAACTACAACAACCAACAACCAACAACATACCACATCAACACCAACCAACAAAAACAAATATCTACAACTCATTTCTCTCGCTGCAGAGATCCGAGTGTGAGCTATATAAAATCGCGCGCGAGTTTCCAAAGCGTTTCCCCCGCTCCCCCTCTCTAAAAATCGATCGAATTGATCGAAAATCGCGCGCATTCGTCGCACGTAACTGAATAATATATATTTCTCGCGCGACCACTGGGCTCAGGCCACAAAAATCCGCCAAAATTCTACACCAACAAACTTTAATCAGCCCCGAGATTTCGCTCCAGTTCGCAACGGCGACCACAATGCCCTACAACGGCGCTAGCAATGGCAGCGGCGGTGGAGGCGCCAGCAGCGGCGGCGGAGGAGGGGCCACCATAGTCGTCACCGAGGGGCCGCAGAATAAAAAGATCCGCACCGGTGTCCAGCAGCCCGGCGAGAATGACGTGCACATGCATGCTAGGGTGAGTGTTTTCCCCCGATTATTATCAATATACATGTATATATGTATTACCATTATGCAATTTTCCAAAAAGCCATGAGACACTTAAAAAAATGTAGATACAATAATTTTTTATAGGAGCTTAAATTGTATTTTAGGAGTATTTTAAGGGCTTCATAGGATATTCTGAAGTTTTAGGAACCTAATGATAATTTTTATTAAGCCAAATTACTTGGTTTTTAATTTGTACTATCTGTACAATACAATTTCTTAGTTATATTAGGGTTTTGGAAAAGAATCTTAAAGAACGTTGTTAAAATATTAAGACAGAGTTATTATCAATTAGATTCGCATTTTATAAACAAGTATGTAAGAAATCTAACATCTTCTTAATCATATTTAACAAATTACCCACAAAATTTGTACTCTGTGGCTTGCATTTGATTTTTCCCCAGTGCAGACTCCACCTTTTCCATCCTAGAAAGCTCTTGAGGTGGGTGATCCATTATAGCCACCCCCATCAGATGCAATTCCTGTATTACTGGGTGTTTTTCGTCCAGCACCACCACCTTTTTACCGCTTCCTTGATTCCCTGTATACGTTTTCGTCCGCGTGTCCGCGGGCTTTTGGGCCTCTGGCCTTGCTGATAAATCCGGGTGGTGTTGGTGGTGGGTAGTTCCTGCTCCGATTCTGATAAAGTTTTTACGCATTGGGGGTTGAACAGGCCAAATTGCAGGGAGCTTATCGGGGGAGTTGCGATATCGTACAGTTTTATCTGAAATAGTGCATAGAGTTGATTTTATTTCATTTCTTTTTTGACTACTCAATATTGTCAAAAATCTGATTGAATTGAAAGCACAACTTGAGAAAAAAGTTGGCATAAATTTAAGAGTTTGTTTATGTTAGAAAACATTTTTTGTATGCATAAATTCATAAGATTTTATTGGGAAAATATGTATTTTCCATATATTTATTTATTCTTTGGCATTTTCTGGAGTGTTCACGGGATTTCTCATTTCCAGTTGCCATATACTTTCAATTTAATCAGATTCCGGCTATAACTTGTAAGGCAATTTTTATCAAGGAAAAAGTACAAGACATTTTATATTTTTTAGCAGATCCTTAATACATTTTTTTCAGCAAAGTTCAGTACTCAAAGGTCTTGGCCTATAAAATTCATTGTAGGTATATTGATTATAAGGGATCTCTATTGTTAAATATATATTCTCGTAGTCTCCTCAATCTGATATTATAACTATTCCAAAAGAAAGAGCGTCTAGAGTTGCGAATTGCAAACAATGAGCTTGGTTGATGCAATTAGCTTGCAGCTTTCTCTTGCCGCCGGAAAAACCATTAAAATTTCCCATGGCCTGAAACTTGTGTTCTCACCCACGTTGCCTGCAGCAGCCACTGCGAATTGCAACTGCAAAAGCAACAGCAACTGCAGCAACAGCAACTGCAGCAACAGCAACAACAGCAGCAGCAGCAACAGCAAAAGCAGCAACAGCAGCAAAAGCAGCAACGCTGTTGGCAGCAATTGTTGCTGCTCTTGTTGTGTTTCGGTGAGGGTTGGAAAAATCGATTTTGTAGCTGGCTGGGAAATTCTCGTTTTGTCTGCTGGCGACTTGCCGGCGCTTTATCAGCCGCTTGCTGCGATAAAAATGTTGATTCTATGCCATGGCACAGCAGTCAATAATGGCCAAAAAGGGAGCCAGGGCAGGGGGTGGGGACAGACAGGGGACTGCGCTCGATGGTTTATTGATTTAGTTTTTGGGTGGCATTCACAACATGGATATTACTTCATTTTGGCAAAGGAAATTCTTGTTGTGTGTTTTGCCGGCGGCTGTGGCTGTGTGTGCAATGGAAAATTGAGAAAGAAGGAAAAGCGCCGGAGAGTGTGGAGAGCGACAGGCTCTTCTTTGCGGCCGCGCAAAGTATGCAACAATTTTTCTCTTAGTCTGCGCTCAAACAACGCCTAATGGGATGCTCATCGGGCTATACAACATGTACATTATGTTGTATATATATTAAAGGGATATATATATATATATATCTGTCTGTGTGTGGCCTTTGAGCTGTTGCTTCCTTCTGCTTGGTGCTGTGTTGCTCCCAGTCCTGTAGTGGCTGCTAGTCCTGATGTGATGCTGCCGCTGCTGCTGTTCCTCGCACACACTTGACTTGACAGCGCAATTAGCACATGAAGCAGCATCTTCTCGTCTTTCTGAAGAGCTGCCTTTTCCGCAAAAGTCCGCCGGACTGCTGGTGGAGCTGCTCCGTTTGTCGCTTTTCCACTTGGCATCGTTTACGCTCTCGCTTTGACTACTGCCCTTGCTGCCAGCATACCTGTGAGCTCCTCATCCACCAAAAGTCCTTTTACCATTCGTCATCCCTTCTGGAATTGCGTACGTGCCCAAATGGCGGAGGAGCAGCAGCAGGCCGCCAGTTGGTTGCTCTTCCATGTGATTAAGTGCACTCGTAGGCGGATGCGCTAAATCCCATGAACATGGCAAAGCCAAAAGAACTTTGCCCCACTCGTCGTCGTCGTCGTTGTCGTTGTCGTGTGGCAGGTTAAACGATTTAGTTCTTGCCCTTTCGCCAAAAGCAGGCAGAGATCAGACAATGTGTCAGCCACTAAGACGAGGGCGTAACGGATGTATGGAGGAGCTCTTGGCGCTCTCTGCAACTCTGACCCACTAATGGCAGGTTAAGCCCCAAAGTTGCGAAAGGAAAATCCAATAGAAGTATCTGAGCTCTCAGTTGTTTTGTGTAACTTTGTGTTTTCATTAAAGTTAATCCCGCAATGCTTTAATTAGATTTGTATTGAAAGATATAAGTAAAGCTTAAAGTTATCAGTTTCTGAGAGCTGTATTTTTACATTTTCACTTAGCAAATATTAATATTAAAGGCAGATTCTGCAATTTAAGTTCCTCTTTTGCATCTAACCTTTTGTACCCTGCAGACATTTTCAATTTAACCGATGGACTAGGGCTTTTGTGATGCCATCTCCTGGTGCTGTCCTGAAAAATCCCATATGCAAGCCAACCAAATTCTGTCTGGCATCCGATAAAATCATCAGCATCAGCATCATGCTCTCGCGTCGTCTGTCATTTGCACTTTTCACCCAGACTCACGTTTCCCCCGGTTTTTCTTTTTTTTTTTTTTTTGGGAAAAGGGTCAGCAGCAGCCAATGCGTTTGGATGCTGCGACATCGTCAACGAAAACGCGACTTCCATAGCCGCCGATGCGTCTGGCAGCGTGACGCATGCTGCAGCAACACACACATACACTCAGTGTTTCCGACATGGTCATGGCAAATAAATTCTGCATCCAGACCCCGCCCAGCCAGCCAGACTCCCGGAGCAGCACATCCTCCTCCTATCCATCTATCCATCCATCCAGACAGTTATAAATAGAGAAGGCAGGCGAGAGCAGACTGCAGTCTGACCAACGGACGATGCATCCTTGGCAGCCACTCCACTCGACTCCACTCCACTCCAGTTGCCGATGATGTATTCAAAAAATCAGAAACCATTTTTTGGTGGTGCGTGTGCCAAAAACATGAAATGCCACCCCCGAAAATGTGGAACCCAAACCCTGTCCTAGATTTGAACCTGCTAATGGATAGGATGGATGCAACGGTCAGAGTGCATTTTCCACACAAAAACCCCTTTTCCGGGTTGTCCTGTTTGTTAATTAAATGCATCACATCACCCTGACAACATGGGGTTGGTTATACATCTTCAATTTCGGTTTTTGGCTTTTTCAGCGATCTTGTTACCTTTTTTCTGTTTTCCGCTGACCATCAGCTGCTGGGTCGCTGGCCTTTTATCAAAGATAATTGATTTTTATTGTCTTTTACGTTTCAAGTTTTAATTGCAAAAAGTTGCCATCGATGGTACTTGAAGGGATGGGAGTTGGGTTTGGGTTGGGTGTTGAGTGTGTTTAAAAGAAAGGGTTGTTTGTCCTAGATGAAAAAAAGGGTGCGTTTCTTTCCCCCTTTGCAGTTGTGTAATTGAACTAATTGAAATTGCTGTTTGCCAGTGACTTTAATAGGTGGAGGAGCAGTGTCCTTGTCTTTAAATCTCTTGGATTCTTTGAGATAACTGCATCCTTCTGACAGACTAATTGGCCAAGCTGAGCAGAGAAGAGGATGCCTGCCTAACTAAGCTCTCTTGTCTTGGTCAAAAGCCAAAGGCATTTACCAAGCGAGTATCTGGACTTTTCTTTTTGCTTCCCCCATTCCTCTTCCACTTCCGATTTTCCGAGTCTGGTGAAAGCCTTCAAATTCCAGCAATTTGTCTTTGTTAGTTATAGTGCAAGTTCAATCGGGTTTCATGGAAAATCATCGTTATCAATGTTATCATCGTGGAACGTAGCAATTGTTGCAATGACTTCGATTGTGGATTCTTGCGTATCGATGTCCGATTGATTTTCCATTTCTTTTATTCAATTTTTCGGTCATAGGAAACGAAATTCTTCGCCTGATTCGCATTTTAAATGAGACGAGGCACAGCTGTGTGCATAGTGAATAATAATTTGTTCTTTGCTCATATTTCGGTCAAAGCCATCATAAATTCAAATTCAAAAGGAAAGTCTTGTCCAGTCACTAGAAAACAACTCGAAAATATGTTTATGAATTCTTAAAGAGATCCAAAAGTACCGTAAGTACAAGAAATACTTTCGGGCTAAAAAACTGAGATTTTCCTTGAATTATTGAGAGATTTGTTGTGTTTCCTTATTGTTACATATTAAATGGTAGTTTTCATGGCTGAATTATTAACTGCCCTGTAGTTACATTTAATCTTCAATAAAATCGGATTACAATTAAATATGTGATTTGTTTGTATAGTTATTCCCTTGAATATTAACTGAATGTTTGAACTTCCCAAATTGAGTAATCAAAAATGACTGCTGAAACAAGACATCAACCAGCGATGACAATGATGATGAAGATGTTGTATGGTGCGGGAGTGGGGATTTATATTGAGCTCTTTCGCTGGCATTTCAAATTAACACCTTGTC